TTTCTATAACATTCCTTATGTTTTTTTTTTTTTTTTTTTTTTTTTTTTTTTTTTTTTTTTTTTTTTGTGGCTGGCTGGTACTGGGATCCAAACCCATGACCTTGGTGTTATAAGGCTAAACTAACCGGCCAGCCTATTCCTCCAATTGTATGGAGTTAGGTGAGTCTCGCCAAGGAGGAAAAAGATCCGTGTGGGTCTCAGTGGACATTAACAAATTGCCCACTGCTGTTGTTATCATCGGGTGCCCTACTTGGGTTTGTTTAGATGCAGAGATGGTGTTGCTGCCCAGAAATCATCCGGCGTGGGCTTAGTCAAAGTCTGAGCCTCAGGTGGAGAAACCCAGAGAAGGAGTGTGCCCGGAAGGTGGCTGTCAATCTTTTTCTGCCCAGCACACCTGAGGCATTGATTAAACTCACTCCCCTCAGCAGCAGCAGCTCAGCACAACCATGATTGTCACGGGGAGGAGAAGCACTGTGTCAACCTCATCCATCTTGCCTCACCCTGCACTTCAGTAGGTCTTACCCAAACAGCAGAGGACCAGACTGAGCTGCTCATATGGGGTTGCCCTTACGATTCATCACATCATTTCATTAGCCTCTCTCTGCAGTGTGAAGTAGCAGAACAAGCCTGGATTTAAGGGTCTCAGGCAGACTGTCAAGGCAGCACAGTATAGCACAGAGGTCAGGGTATGGACTCTGGATCATGTAGACCTGGATTCAAATTCTGCCTCTGCCACTTAGAGCTATGAGATTTGGGGCAAGTTACTTTCTCAGGCTTATGCTTCCTCTCATATGTAAAATGGGAATAATAATAGTGCTTATTTCATAGGTATAATGTAGTAAAATTATTCAGCAGAGTACTAAGTGGTACACAGTAAGCACTTAATGAATATTACCAAAACCCCAACCATGCCATTTATGCCATCCAGGGAGCTGCGGACAAGTTATTCGAGAGGAATCTCTTGCTCCTCTTCTGTAGGACAGTTATAATAAACCCCTCTTCTGCTAGGTTGTAGCCAGCGTCACATCAGAAAAGATATATATCTAAGTGTCTACATAGTAACTACTCAATAAACAGTGGCTATTTTTAACAGCGCAGCAAGAGGTGGGAGGACAGGTATTAGGACAAATGGGGCAGTAGGGATCAGAGAAGACAGACCCTGACTCAGTCAGAAGGTGCACATAAATAGAGAGGGTGAGAGCTCCTGTCGAGTATGCCCCTGTCCTTGGGGAGGAGAAAAGGGGGTATTCAGCCAGCCCAGAGATGAACTGAACAGCACTGGCGTCCAGGGTAGATTGAAAACCTGGGGTCCCAGCCTGGAGAGAGACTGGGATCCCCTTTGGCCTGGATCCTGAAGGAAGGCGGTGGCATGGGGATTATGCGGCCATGCAGGGTCGAGGTGAAGTTTGTGGGATGTAGTATTAGTGTCTGATTCCTTAAGGAAGAGCTGCAAGGGCTGGTCGGGGAAAGGTGGGCTCCAAGGAGGAGCCCCACAGCACTGGAAGTGGACACTCACTCCTAGGTCAACCCAGCAGCCTAGAGGGACCTGTGGTCCTTTCTCTGTGAGTGAAGCAAGATGAGAATCTTTCTGCCCATATTATGGAGAAGGATAGGAGAACGCAGAATTGACTGGCTCCAGGTCACCCAGCTGGAGCAAAGTTTTCTGAATCCCAGCCCGGGTTTCTTCCAGCCCCACTCCCAGTCTCGGGTCGGGTAATGGGCAGATGTGCATGGACTGCGAAGGGGCAGCTGGTGCTCCTGCTGAGCTGGGACGGATCCCACCACAACCTCTCTGAGGGGGTCTCCGGGATCCGCCCGGAGGAAGGGCCCACAGGGGCAGGGGGCAGGCCGCCCCCCACACGGTCCCTCCTCGGACATGGACTCACCTCTGGGCCCGCCCTGCGGGCGGCGGGGCGCGAGGGTGCAGCGGGCAGGGGCCGCCTTCCCGTCCCAGCGGCGGCCACGGTCGCACGACGAGCGCTGCACAGCGAGCCGGGGTCCCGCCGAGGCCTGGGACGGGGCTGGGGCCGGGGAGGGCTCGCTGTGCGCGGCTGGCGCGGC